GATCCTTTCAAGGGATGGCACACAACGTTGGCACTCTTAGGTTTACAAACATAATTCACAAGGTAAAGCCAGAGATCTCAAAATAGAAATCCACAACTGTGGTCTTTCTGAGTTCTTTGCAACACAAGAACTGTTCTATTATTTTTCCATAGGCAAAAAAAGGGTGAAAACTAAGATCTAGTATTTTCCAAGGTGGGGCCTCACCTGTATTTTGGTGTATAAATATGGCTTAACATGCAGCTACCAGGTTTTGAAAATGTTGCTCTTATGCACAGCGTTCTGAGCTCTGTGCACCTTGGTTAGAGGCACACTTGCTTCAAATAACATACAATCTCTGGTAGTCAAACAAACCTAGCTGTTAAACTGTGTGTGATGAACAGCTGTGCAGAAAGGGACTTAGAACCTTTCAATTTAAGTTTGTTAGGATGATCAAGGAATTTAAGAGATGGTAAAGCAAGTGGAGATTATAAAACATGAAAGCTGCTTACCTTTCAATTTTCTTTCCTTTGTTTTTCCTAAGGCAAAAAAGCCATTAATGCAGTGTAAAAGCTGTAAGATCAAGCAAAACAGGAATTTGCTCTAACTGCAGTAACTGACCCGTATTGCACGTACACCCTACTCCCCTCTTCCCCTTCCTAAATGTAAACATCCATTATTGCTATACATTGTATCATATTACAGAATGTACAAAGGTGAGGAGTTTACATTTTGGAAGCAGCATTAACATTTGCAATGTCTTGATTTTTAAGTGCCAGACCATGCACTTTTAGAGCATGTCCATACATGCAGGCACGTATGCTTGCAGAAGCTCAAAAAGAAGTGGTGCAAATTTGAGCTGGGGCTTTTTACTTCAGTGCACGTGCTCGGACATGCACTTTGTTGTGGAGCAAACTGTGTAACTTGGGGCAAAATAGCCTTGCCTGGCTCCTCTTGGATCTGCAGCCAGGGGGAGCTAGAGCATGGGGCCAGCACCTGTCCTGGCCCCAGCAGTATAAAAACCTGCCCTGGCTAGCAGCTCAGGGTTACTTGCTTTCAGGACTTCTGGGGGAGGAGCCTCTGGGAGGAAGTTGGCCATGCCCCTTCCTATCCCAGACTGCTGCTGCTGGTTGCTGCAAGCTTGGTCTCTGGAGCTTCTAGGAAGAAGATGGCTAGGCCCTTTCCTGCCTCTGGCTACTGCTAGCTGCTGGCTTGGTCTCAGAGCTTTTGGGAGTGAGTTGGCTGCACCCCTTCCTGCCTTGGGCTGCTGATGCCCCTTCTGGGAGAAGGCAAGGGGCCCAAAAGCTGTAATGTCTGGATCTATAGGTGGGCCTGCAGTTTCATAGTTGTCCTCTATACATATGGGAGGGCACTACGTGAACTAGCAGGCCGCACACCAGGCATTGAGATGCGTGAGGCCCCTGCTGAACCATCTACTCCACCCCTCCAGCCATGAGGTCATTTAAGATCATGACCCTCAATATCCATGGCTGCAGGATGGGTCTGTGGAGGTGCCAGGTGCTCTACTTCCTTCAGGAGGGAGGGAAGTGGGGAGCTCCCCCTGTCATGCTGGAAGGCCATGCTGACCTTCCTGCTGAAGAAGGGGGATCCCCATGACCTGAGGAACTGGCATCCTGTGTCCCTCCTCTGCACGGACTACAAGGTAGCAGTGAAGGCCATCTTGCTATGCTGTGGTCCATGCTGACGGATGTGATCCATCCCGACCAGAGGTACATGGTGGCTGGATGTTCCATCTTCAACAGGAGATCTCGATTCAGGTAAAGGTTGGAGCTAGCATGCCAGGAGGGCCTGTCTTTTGTCCTCCTATCCCTGGACCAGGAGAAGGCATTTGACAGGGTGGATCATGTGTACCTCACAGGCATGCTGTGGGCCTTTGGCTTTGGGCCCTGCTTTGTGTGGGCTCTCCAGGTGCTGTTTGGTCAAGCTCACCTGGACCCTGATGGAGCCCATCCCATTCAGGAGAGGGGAGCATCAAGGCTGCCCACTGTCACCAGCTGTATGCCTTGACCCTGGACCCCTTCCTTGTTCTCCTGTGAAAGTGGGTGGCAGGGTTGATGCTCCAGGAGCCAGTGGTGAGGCTGGTCCTGTTAGCATATGCTGATGATGTACTCCTCATGGTCCAGGATTCAGGTGACCTGGCGCAGGTGGAGGCCTGCCAGGCATTGTACTCAGTGACCTCCTCTGCCTGGGTCAACTGGGTCAAGAGCTTTGGCCTGGCAGTGGGTGATGGGTGGCAGGTGGGCTAATTCCCACCTGCGCTCTGCGGGATCCACTGGAGCATAGGCTCGCTGCTCTACTTGAGGGTCTACCTATCCCCCACAGACCCATCCCCACCAGAGAACTGGCACCAGCTGGAGGCAAGGGTGGTGGAGCTGCTCTGGGCATGGGCAGGGCTCCCAAGATGTCTCTCCCTGCATGGGAGAGTGCTGGTGCTGAACCAGCTGGTCCTGTCCATGCACTGGAACCACCTACACACCCTGCCTGTGCCCCCTGAGGTCCTGGCAGGACTCCAGAGATGGGTGCTGGAGTTTTTCTGGCCGGGATGGCACTGGAATCACTGCAGAGGTCTTAAGCCTCCCCTTGTGGGAGGGCAGCCAAAACCTGGTTTGCTCGCGCAGCCAGGTCTTGGCTTTCCACCTTCAGGCCCTGCAGCAACTCCTATACAGTGTCAGTAGCCACGTGGCATTGGGTCACCTGGGGCACACATTTCTCCGTTACTTCCAGGGGCTCTGATACAACTGACAGCTCCTCAGACTATGGGGCTTCTCCCTGCAGGACCTGCAAGGGCTGCCAGATTTCTACCAGGACCTCCTCTGGGCCTGGAGGCTTGTATCTACCTCCAGGTCCCCAGCAACAGTCATCCAGGGTGCCAACCTGTTCACTGACCCCTTCCTCTGGAACCCCCAGCTGGAAGTGCTGATGCTAGAAATGCCCCGGTTGTGACAGAAGTTGATCCTGGCAGGTGTCACCCATATTGAAGACCTCCTGGACTACAGTAGGTGGGAGTAGGTGAACTCCGCTGAACTGGCTCAGCACATGGGTCTACCCATGATACATGCAACCTGCCATCTGGTCCAGGAGGTGAAATCTGCCCTATATTCTGATGCCAATGCCTTTGTTGACTAGGTCCTGCTCAGTGGCAGTCCCCGCCCTCCCTGTGTCCTCCAGCCCACCACAATTTGTTGTGGGGCTGGCTCCTCACCTGGCTTCACAGCGCTCCCCGCTCTACCACCTGAGCCAGCTGGAGGACACCAGACTAGTCCGCTTTTCCACCATCCATTGCCACCACCTCTACATGCTCGTGCACCGCACTGTCCATCATGCCACCCTTGCGTCCCACCCAGATAGAAAGTGGTGGGACCTGCTCAGCGAGCGCTTGGCTGGGATACCCCAGTGGCTGAGTCTGTACTCCACCCTCATCCCACGAGCCACTGGGAACCTCAGCTGGAGGCTCCTCCTTGGAGCCATCTCCACGGGCATGTATGTGGTGAGCTTCATGGACACCCCTTCCCTGCAGGCAGAGGGAGAACCCAGTGCACATGATCCTCAAGTGCACCAAGCTGCAGCCCCTCCACCTCCAGAACCTTCTCTTGAGGTTCTGGTTGAATTTCACCCCCCACTTTTTTGTTTTTAATCACCCCATCTGTGGCCCCACCAAGTCCCGGGACCTCCTGGTCAACCTCCTCCTGGCCCTAGCCAAGTGGGCCCTGTACTTGACCAGGAAGGAAGATCTGGTTGGGAAAGTGCCCAGAGACTGTGGGACCACTTTGCTGTCACTTGTCCTTGCACATTTCTAGGCAGAGCATCAGTGGGCAGTGTCCACTGGCTCTTTGGATGTCTTTGAAGACCAGTGGGTGCAGCCCGGGATGCTCTGCTTGGTGCCCCCCTCAGGCACACTTACTTTCACTTTTTGACCCTTTGACCCACACAACACTCCTATCCTGTTTTTTTTCATTAGCTGTCCCAAGTATTTTGTTGTAACATTCACCCACAAGCCCCCATACAATAGGGGCTACTCATTAGCTGGGTGGGCCTTAGGTCCCACGCTATTTTGAATGTTACAAATAGACAGGAGCTTCTGGGGCCCAGCCAGTTGGTATCTAGGGACACTAGCCCCTTGTGTCAGCTAGACTGCTGGAGCAGCATCCCAAAAATCACATTCTTACACAACTAGAACAAAAGAGAGAGAGAAAAGGACATTGATCAAGGGCAATGTTTTATTGCTATATTTACAACATTAAAGACATTTGTAAGCCTATCAGTGTCTCTAGCATCATAATAAAATAAATCCTAAATATCTATATGTTTTAATGTTTGCTTTGGTTTCCTTATCACATGGTGGGTGTGTGATGGGAGGATATGGGGTTTGCAGGAGGGAGTGGGAAGGGGGGTGGGGGAATGTGTGTGAGTGCTGAGGGAGTCACTGTGTGGGTAGGTGTGGGGGGACTGTGGGCTTGGGGACTGCTTAGGAGGGGTGGGTCCCCTGCATGAACTCCATGTGCCCCCGGTGGCTGGCGGGGCACAGCAACACTGGTGATGGCGGGAGCATGGCAGCAGTGGTAAGCAGGGAGCTCATGCAGATGCTGCTGGGACTGTTGACTGTGGGGGGAGGGGTGGCAAACAGCAACCACCCACTGACACCACCGGCAGTGACAGTGGTGGCCAGCACCAGTTGCTGACTGCCCGTAGATGCCGCTGGTGGTGGAGTGGGGGTGGCAAGTGGTGACCACTCACAGGCACTGCCGATAGTGTCAACGGTGCCTTTTCTGAGGGGGCACAACACCATGCTTAGTGCACCCCCTGCCCCCCACAGGGCAGAGCACCACCACAGCACATGAACTACCCTGCCTGCAATACAGTGCATGCCCTATCTCTGGAGGCTGGAGATGAGCAGGAGAACAAGCAGGAGGCTGGAGAGAATAGGAGAATGAGCAGGAGGCTTGTTCATTCCCCCTGCCTTTCGTTCATTCCCCCAGCTCCTTGCTTGCTCTCTCAGCCCCCACCCCACACTCACCGGCAGTAGCAGAGAATGAGCAGGAGGCTGGAGAGAGCAGGAGAAGTCTCCAGTTTATCTCCAGAGGCTTGTCTCCAGCCTCCTGCTCTCTCCAGCCCCCTGCTCATTCCCCTGCTTGTCTCCAGACTTGGGAGGCTGGAGGCAACAGAGGAACAAGCAGGAGGCTGGAGACAGCCCCCGGAGACATTCCCCTGATCTCTCCAGCCTCCTGCTCATTCTCTGCTACTGCTGAGGGTTGGGTGGGGGGGGGCTGGGAGAAGCAGTGGGGAGCTAGGGGAATGAGCAGGGGGTAGGGGGAAGAAACAGGGAGCATAGGCAACCAACAGGGACTGGAGAAAGCGAGCGGGGAGCTAGGGGAACAAACTGGGAGCAGGGAGAATAAACAGGAAGTAGGGGAAGGTCCCCTCCCCCCTCCTCCAGTCCCCTACCCCCCTACTTACCTGGCAGAAGCTGGGTCCAGGTTCCTGCAGCTTGCACTGCTCCCTGCCCTGCATGGGCAGGCAGCATGCTTCAGCACCGGGGAAAGGGCCAACCAGAGCATCTCTGTGGAGAACTGAGCCTCTGGTTGCCTCAGTTCATGGTCTGGGATCATGCCCTGACCCATTATTTTTCTCCCAGCATACTGTTTGTCCCCTGTATATCCAGGGGTCTAATTTTGCTCCCCCACTGCAAATTTGCAGTGCAGGGAATGGATTTTTGTTCCCACATGCCTCTTGCAGTGTCTCAAAGGGGTTTGAGATGCTGCAAGTGGCACGTGCGGGCTTGTCTGGACGCACCCACAACGTTACATTCTTATACCATGTTTTTATTTTTGCATTGAATTTCTCAGGAGTTTTCAGTAAAAAATGAGGAGGGAGCTCAGAAAGGATAAAAACAAAAACACTGAAGTCATTTTCTGCACTTCTTTTTGTCTGTTTGTTATCACTTGAGCCATCATTGTCCTCCGCTGTGGCGTTTCTCAACCCATGGGTTGCGACCCAAAAGTGGGTCATGAACAAACTTTGAAAAGGGATCCATAAACTTTAAAAATGGATAAAAATGTGGGAAACCATGTCTTTTCCCTTGCAGGCTGTCAGAGTTGAATTCTGTAAGAGACTGCTTGGGGACCCCCTGGCCCCACACATCCACCTCCTGCCCCACATACTGAGGGGCTGGGGCCCGGGAGGCAGTGGATTAGGAGTGAGGGGCACTGTATTAGGACTGGCCATCAATGTTTACAAATGGGTCCTGTCATTAAAAAGGTAGAGAACCACTGCTCTACTGGATGGAAGACGAGAATTGCTTTATTGTATATTATTTTGTTGCCCTCTACTGGCTGAATATAAGGAACACAGTATTGCCATCTCTAAAGAGGGTGCATATGTGTGTACATGTGAGTATGAAAGAGCAGGGGAGAAGAAAGAACAGGCATTTCTTTCTCTATTGGCTATTGCCTATAGATGATAAAAGCCTTAATACTATATATGCATAACAGTGTCCAGGTTATTGCCTGCAATTTTTATTGTTTTTCTCCAGTAGTTATTTATAGCCTTTTGCATAATTAAAAATAAAGTTTTTCTTTTTTAACCAGTGTTATGCTGTTCTACTTCAGAAATGTTGCTTTCTCTGTGTGTTTATTCTGTGGTACAGAAATTAACACGGTTGTTTTGGCTTACTTCCTACCTTATTTACCCAGCATATCCTCAACATCAGCTCATCCCTCACTGTAATGTTGAATAGTTAAGAGCTATTCTGAATATGCCAAAAGGAGTAGTGTTTCCTATAGCAGCTATCATTTTGTCTCAAAAACCCAGTAAAAGATAGGGGAATGTGAATAATTTCAGACAGATATTTAAAACCTTGAAAATACCCCCTGTCACACTAATTTCAAGCCAGGTTGAATTTTAGGATGGCGCTGCTTGACCGTGTCTTTTATAATAGGATTTTCTTAGCATACATTCAGGCAAGGGATCCCCTGTGTAGCAAACTGTCCATGAAATACAATATGCCAAAAATAGACGGCTCAGCCCATAAAACCAGACTGAACCCTTGCCCATTTTCTTTTCTGTTCTTTTCTCCAGCTGGAAATTCCCTTGTAGCAAAAGCATATTGCAGTCTCAGAGGGTATGACCTTAAAGCTTGAGTGGTTTCCCGAACTCATTTAATTGTTGCAAAACCCATCAGATCAAGCAGATTAAACTCTTATGCACAATAAGTGCCTCCTCCAGACCTTTACTGTATTGTGTGAAGTTCCCTGTTGTACAAGGTTGTATTATATCCAGCATATTCAGCCACATCTCATAATTAAACAAGACAGAAAACTTTTGCTGTAAAATTTAGCTGACACATTTTAATAATTCACTTATTAGCATGGTTACTCGTGTTGCTCTGTGGGTCTTTGAGATTCAGTTTATGTAAACTGTGTCTTGTTGAACTTAATTTATTACAATATTGTGATTATTATCATTGCTGTTAAACAACTACTGGTATATACTGAAGTGGCATGTAGCGACCTTAGCCAAGTTGGAGGTTTCTTGGTTATGGACACTATTCAGCAATAATAAATGGCATTGTTCTATAATCTATAAACAACTAGAAAACGGTAGTGGTTGCCCCAAAGAGAAATCACCAGAATTAGTCTTATACCTATTGTGAGAGGTAAGTATTTCTTAGGATGATATCCTTTATTAGATCATCTGTGTAGTTGGGATAGTTAGTCAAGCTTTTGTATGCAAGACAGTCTTCCTCAGGTCTGATCATAACACAGAACAGCAGTGGGATGGGAATGAGAGAAATTCCCAGGTGCACCAGACACACAGGCTATGGATAGATGTTTTATCTATAGTGTTACAAATGCCCTTGCAGTTGAGGGGGAAGACATGCATACCCTCTGTAGTGCTAAAAACATAGTGGACACATCATAAAATGTTCCTGAATGAAACAGGAACTTCTATGTAGCACTTCGGTTTATAGTGCTCCAGCTACAAACCAGCACTGAGGACTTCATGTCTGTCCATGCCAACAATTAGTAGAAGAAAGAGCCTGATTATTGGAAGATCAAAGCCTATCAAAAAGAGGAGGGTTAACTGGCATGCCAGCTTGTAAGGAAAAGTGAAATTGGAAGTGCCCACTGTGGCACAACCCGTTTCTCCGAGTCCCCACGGCCCGGGGCAAAGCAGCCTATGCTGCTGAGCCCCCATGGCCCAGGGGCATAACAGGCTGTGCGGGGTCCACCTCCCTGTCCCGCAGGGCCCACAGGAGGGGCGGCAATGCGGTAGGAGGGGCGGAGGGATGCGGCAGAAGCAGCAGCAGCCGGGGCCACTCAATTAACTAGCATATTTTGTTATCTGGCATCCCCCATTCCAGGGGGAAGCCATATAACAGAGCTTTCGCTGTATCTATATTTAGTCCCTGGTTCGTAGTATGCATCCAGCTTATGATTTTTTGTTCCCAAGCTTGCCTTTTTAAGGTGTTAAGTAGATTTCTCTTGAGCACAATGATAGTGAAGTCAGGGAGGGAGTGGTTGTTCTGTGAGATATGTGGGTGTATGTGTCTGCCCTTTATATTTTGTCTGTAAGAGTTCGTCCTGGTGCTTAGTTGCTGTTTAGTTTCGCCTGCATTGTTGCCACGAGAGCACTTGGTACATTGGATATCCTTGTGCTCAAGGTAAATCTACCTACTACCTTTAAAGATGAACTTGGAAACAAAAGTTATAAGTTGTATGTGTGTGCGCCTGTACATGTGCATATGCAAGCACACAATGGGACAGCAGTAGAAATATAAACACTTGTCTTTGAACATGGCAGTTCAGGATCTATCTCATGAAGTCTTAGGAAATATGAAAATCCCTATACTCCATGACTTTAAACATGTCAGTGTACTGTTGTTTTGCTTTGTGTTTTAATTCCAGCTGGGAGCAAATCCAGGTGGAACTGGAGCATGGAATGTAGACAGTTTAAATTACTAGTGGGTACTACAGAGGAAAAACACGTCTCCTGAATTTTTTTACCAGGGGAAATGTGTAGATTTTGAGGTTTTGAGCTGTCATGTTAGTGCTGACTTATACGAATAGGAGCAACTACCCATACCAATTTAGTTAGCACATATTTTAAAATTTGTGCCTTCTAAATGGCAAGAAATTACATATAAAAAAGTTGATTTGGTTGGATGACAAACTGGCAAATTTATATGAATTTGGGGACTTTTTTTGTTCCTTTCAAAATAGCCCCTGAGGATGTCATTTTTTCAGTCAGCCACACAAAGCTGCCTACTTCTGCTTATTCGGTTCAAGCACCATTCCATAAATTCTCATGCATATCAATAGCTTTCAGCATGGCTTTCTTCTATTTTTTGGAGGATATAGAATATATATACTTTAAATATCAGTTTGTCAAATGTTTCCCCTTGAATGTGTGTTTGAAACAGAAATATTTCTAAAGAAATCATGACTTACTGCATATGAGGCATATTCAAGCTCTTATGTACCTGCTAGGAAAGACTTCTTTCTTAGTGGGCCTGAATGTTGTACTCTGTAGACATCCACTCCTGTAGAAAGTGAGTGCAAAAGATTAATTTTAGCTTGGTAGTGCCTCACCTTCACTTCACACTCCCATTCAATGACTACACCAAATTATGAAGAGTGCCTTGCATTCAAAAGCTTGTCTAATGTTATCCCAGTTATACAGTTGCTCCAATAATAGAGATCACCCACAAAATCCTTGCTCTACACACCAAACAAGGACAGTAGTCTCCAAGTTGAGAAAAATCAAACACGCCTACTACTATTTGGGAACCAGAACGAACAGCTGCAGTAAGGCAGGAGTAAACACAATGACTTTGATCCTTGGTCTAGCTCAGGGATTCTCACAGCACCCTGGTTGCCTTGAGATCCTTTCAAGGGTGCCACACAATGAATGTTAGGTTTGCAAACATGATTCACAAGATTAATCTAGACAATGCAAGTAGGAATACAGAATGTTAAAGTATTCTGACCTGTTGTGATTTTTCTGAGTTCTTTGCCATGGAAGAATTGCCCTTTTATTTTTCTGTAGTAAAAAATAAAGTGAAAACTAAGAGCTGACATTTTGCAAGGGTTACCTTGAGTCTAGTGAGGGGTGTCCTTAGTTTATAAAGATTGAGAACCTCTGGTCTTGCCTGTGCCTGTGTTCCCAAACCATGGGAGAATCCTCGGAAGCTTTCATAAGTCAGATTTCTCGTCCTTTTGCATCACTGGAGAAAAGCAAAGTGCTGGATCACAGACCAAGATGCAGTTGTAACCCTTTTGCTCTCCAAGCAAAGTCTGGCAGACAATATTATAAAAACAACTTGAATGCCCATGGTCATTTACCAGAAATGAAGAACAAACATTATTTTACTCATTTTATTAATGTAAACATTTTTTCAGCTATTTTAAGAAGTATATGCTTGACCTAAACACCCAATACATTAAAAATGTATGAAACAGAAGGCAGCTTTCCCTAATAGAAAGCTGTCTTCTGTTTCATACATTTTTAATTATCCCAAAATGTGCACTGTTGTTAATGATCTCAAAGGTGTACCAAGATGGTGAAGTGACACTTGGGAAATTAAAACTGAAAGAGTCACTGAAGCAATTCAGACACAGCAGCAAACTCATTTAAAAAGAAAATGTTCTGTTGGGGTTTTTTTTTAAAAAGATGACCAATAGGACCCAAATCCTGTGGCTAAGTACAGATCATCAAAAAGTCTGAGACTGAATCGATTCAGTCTTTGCAGGCTAATCTAAGTTTTAGAGATTGAAACAATAAGCAAATGAACAGACATTCCATTTTGATTTAGGAAATGCAGCCACATGTCTGCAGTGGCTCCAGCCAGAAGCTGGGAACACTAGAGCGTGGCTTTCTGGCAAGTATCCAGCATGGGCTGTGTGTTTGCTTCCTCTTCCTGATGTCCCCGAGGTCTCTGGGATTTGCAGTCCACACTCACAACAGCAAGGCTCAGCAGGGTTGCTCACTTCCTCTTCCTGCTTCCAGGTGCCTCTAGGATTTGCAGTCCAGTCGCAGCCAGCACTAAGTAAACAGGGCAGAGCAGCTCTGTACTCAGGTAAAGGTAAGTTTAACCTCCCTCCCTGGCCCTAGACTCAAGCTAAGTTTTGCCTGGGGGGGTTCAGTGAGCTGGCCAGTGAGCCAGCCCTCACTGATCCAGTTAGGGAGCAGAGGGGCAGGGCCAGCCCTGCTCTCTGGAGCAAAAAGCACAGCCCAGCCCAGGGCTGCAAAATGCTGGGATGCTGGGGGACTGTGATTTAACTTGAACCAGGAGGGGCATGGTACAGAAGTTTCATTTCTGAAACTGGTTTGACCTTAATCAGTTAAGTCTGATACTACATTCAACCAGGTTTTATCTTAAACCAGTTTCAGCCATTTTAAAACTGGTTTATGTGCAGTGAACTTCTATTCTGTTACAGGTTTAAACCAGTTTCTGATCACTTAAACTGGTTTATATGTAACTTCTGTTCCTAGCCTTTGTGACATCAGTGGGGCTAGTTATGTGGGAAAGGCATCACCATATTGGATCTGAGATGGGCATAATGGAAATTACAGTCTTCCTGAAGTAGGAAGCAATGCATAATTTTGACAGTCAACACTAGCAATGGCCTAACAAATTGCTGCTAATTTTTAAAAACCAAGAAACAGTTAAAAACCAAGCAGCACATTTTTACTCTGCTGGGTACTTTTAATGCAGCAGCAGATGGTCAGGTCGGCAGCTTCAGTTCCTACTTCCTTTGCTAATAAGACAAAATGTTTCAGTCATGCAAGTTGTATTTATTTGATTTTACTAACTGTCCACTGTGGTGAATGAGTTCACTAGCCCTTCACACATTTCCTTTTCCCCCAGTTCCTTTGAGGTAAACTTACTTTCTCTTTTGCCAACTCTAGCCTCTGGAATCATTTAGCGTCACAACCCCAGGAGTACTGTATTAATCGCTGTATTTTGGGAGGAAAGTTGAGGTCTTCCAAGGACTGTATTATTTTGGTAGCCCCATGAGATGGGATGTGAACATCTGGAAATGAGCAGGCCAGTCTCTTAGGCCATAGGCCTTGGTCTTGTCTTGCTGCTCTGGGAACTGCCCTGACACTGCAAAAAGATAATCTATTATAAGTTAAGTGGCTAGATATGGGTGATTTTGAGGCAGCACAAGGGAAGTCTGAATAACTTTTGAGCTCTTTACCTATGAAAAACAAATTGAAAGAGTCAGAACTATTGAAGATGGCCTTGATTCAGCAAACCACTGCAGTCACTGGGACTGAAGTTTATATGTAAGTCACTTGTTGAACCACAATGGATCGATGCATATATCAAATTGCATCTACGCATATATCAAATCTACTCCTGAAGTTTTATTTACTTTAATTAAGATTTGAAATGTAAAGTCAACAGTCAAGAACATGACCTTGCCCATTTTGGAAAAAAATGGAAAAAAAACAAGGGCATCATTGGACCCCTGCTAAACCAAATGGGACAGCTGACAACTGACACCTAGGAAAAAGCCAACCTGCTTAATGATTACTTTGCATCAGTCTTTCACTAGCCCAAAGGGACCACTCTGCCTGACAAGATGTGGGATGACCAGTGTGAGAGTGAATATATGCCCACCATTGTCATAGGTATTGTGAGGGAACACTTTGAGAGGACGGACACCCACAAATCAGCTGGTTCAGATAGATTGCACCCAAGAATGCTAAAGGAACTGGCAGGCATCATAGCACAGCCACTGGCAAGGATATCTGAGAATTCATGGCACTCGGGCGAAGTACCTAAAGATTGAAAGAGGGCCAATGTGGTGCCTATCTTCAAGAAAGGGAAGAAGGAAGATCCAGGGAACTACAGGACAATCAGTTTGACCTCAACCCTGGAAAGATCTTGGAAATATTATCAAAGGGA